AGTTCTTGCCGCGGCTCTGATCTGCCAGCAGGCAGGTGCGTTTGTAGCCTCGTGTCTGTCGGGGCAGAGGTGATGGTTACACTCACAGCCTCTCTCCCCAAGCCCGTATTTCTCTCAACTAACCCCTTTCCCTTCCAGGAGGTTCTCAGAGGCAGGAGGGCAGACACAGACCTTCCAGCCACAGCTGACCTTCTCCCGTTCGAGCTGACCCCCAGCTGAGGTGCCACCCTGGCACAGCCCAGGGACTCACCTTGTAGGAGAGGTAGAACCCGTCGAAGGATCCTGTCAGTTTGAGCGACTTCTCGTAAGCTTCCTCCCACTTTAAGCCTCTGTCAACGGTGATCTGACCAGGGACAAACAAGCAGAGGGATTCTGCAACTTCAGGGGGCAGGACAAGTGCATCAGTGCCTGTCTCAAACCCCACCCTCAGCACAAACTCCTTTCTGCTGCAGCCTGGACGGGCACTGCCAGACTGTGGCAGCCCCGAACCCCCGGGGCCTCTTCTTGCCTCCCAGAATCACTCTCCTGCTCCTGACCAAGGCAGATGTGACACCAGCACAACACACAGCTGCACGGAGAGCCGTGCGGGCAGCCTACCTTATAAAACACAACCTGCCCGTCCTGCGGGTGCCCGGGGGTCAGGAAGACCTCCTTGCTCTCCTCGTAGATCTCATCCACTCCTGGGGCTAAATCTGTAGGAGGAGAGAAGTCTGCTGTAGGCTGCATCTCTCTGGACCACCTCCTCTCCCTGTGAGCGTCTCAGGATCTGGGCTAGGGAGACTCATGGCAGTGCCCGGGCACTGCAGTGTGTCACCAGCCCAGGGAGGAACAGGGAGAGGTCTGACCACCTCTCTTTCTCCATACCTAGGATGCCCATGTCGTATTTGCCCTCCTTCTTGTCCTTTTCAATCAGGTAGTCGAAGGTGTCCGAAAAATACTGGAAGAGCATGTTCTGCTTGTCCACCTCCAGACCCAGGATGCGGTTCAGGAACTTGGTGATGGAGCAGTCTGCGAGAGCG